ATTATCAAGCATAATTTCACATTTAAACAAAACACCCTCTCCTTCAAATGAACCTTGCTTCCAGGTTTGATGCGGTATGTTTTAAGGAAATAAGACTTTCACATCATAAGCCGTGAAATCTTTTGCGCGAATAAAGTCGGTCGCGGCTTATTGAGGCGGGATGCAACATGATTTAGTCCGTAGGAAAAAAACTCTCCACACTGCCACTCGAACTCACCCAAACCAGCGCCACAATCCAACTATATCTTGGAATTTCGTCCGGCAGGGCTTAAAATTTTTTCCGTAAAAAGTTTCATCTATAACACAACAATTTTTTCCGGGATGAATCTTCTGGACAAATTAATGTAGATGCCACAGAAATTTAAAAACCAAAAGTTTTCCTACTACGAAAGGATGTTTCAGCGCTACGCAAAAATTCACATTGACTCATTGTTCTGTTAGTTTTAAAAGGATTCTTACATAGATTATACCGATTATTTGAATACTATCCACTTAAAAACATAAATAGATTTTGTGATAAGTAAGTTGATATAAATAACAAGCGACCTAAGTGACCCTGCTTACCAAACGTTTGACCCTTTATACACTTCCAGAATCTCAATATAAATTCTCCATACAGTCAGCTATACATTTCGTATAATTTCAGCAGTGAGAATTTGGGGTCAGATAAAACAATCATTCCTCGTTGATGGTTTCCTCTTCATCATCTCCTTTCTTCGTGAAAAGATATCGTTTGTTGTGAGGAGAAATTACTTCGCGGTCACTCCAAAGAGTTATGCGAGACGCGGTAAACGTGTTAATTGATATTAAACGATGTAAAGTTTTGCCAACGCCTGAAAATAATCTTTGAATTAACAGCTAAAGCTTAACCTTAAAACAAACATTTAAGACTGTCGGCTGATAACGCCATAGCTTGCATAATTGAGGAAGTTGCCGTTTCCGATATCAGTTGATGAGAGACTTTAAAATCAGCATGAAGTTTGGGAAAAAACAGTTATGGGAAAATTCTCGAAGATTGAAGCCGGAAATATTATTAAATCAGTTCACACCAATATCAGCTCCCGCAGAAACCTGTGTTCCGAGATTTTAACGTAGATTTCAAGTGGTAAATTTATAGAATTTTGAAGCAACTTCCGCCAAATATACGCTCTCTCTCGACAAAAAGCGAAATGCATTTCACTCCACTTCACAAGAGATGATTGTCTTTCGTTTTATTAGCTTTCATGGTTGGTGGTCGTTATCACAAAGAAGTGTCAGGCGACAAACCTTGCACGTACGTATTGTGCCATTCTTCCCGGCCTGTTTGCGTGGCTTCCGCGAGGACAGCGCGAGGGACGAGCCACTCGCGAGGGGAGGAGTAATTTCACGTTTAATGGTAAGTGATCCTGGGAAAGATCCTCTGCCAAAGAGGTGGAGTGGTTTCTGGTACTTGTATGTACTCTTTTCTTAAAGGGGGGTGGGGAAAGTTTGGGGGATCACGTGGTTTTCATGGTTTTCAGGGGGGGAAACGGAGGGAATCAGTAGAGTATAAAGGGGATACCATAGAAAATTAACTACCAATTATCTGCAAATGATAATTAATGACCGGTCCTGAATCAATAAAACTTTGTGACTTTTTTAAACACCTGGCTCAAAAGAAAGGTTCAATTTCAAGGTCTCGAAAACAAACTCCATATCCTCTATTCTCCAGGAGATGAAACAGCAATTTACAGAAATGATCAGCTAGCTCATTTATCCTCCACATTGAAAAGAAACATTTGCATATCTTGTAAAGGGACAATTCTGAAAACTGACGAAGCCTATACTGAACTGGCTTGACCCTCTAACCCCCAGAAATGATTAACATTTAGTTTCTCCGCACAATATCTATTTATTTTCCTTCAAACAAGTGAAGAGTATACTGCAACTTATCAGGTTTAAAATTGTTACCTTGATCTAACACCAAATTCTCGCAACTAACTCACAAGGAAATGTTTGGCAGCCAGAGAGAAGAATTAACAATCATATATTTGAAGTCAAAGGGTTAAGAATTTAGCGATATGCTCCTGATCGAATCAGTCTCGTTTTAAATTCAGGAATTACGAAAGTGAAATAGGATCGGAGTGAGTGTTTGGTTACCAAGGGCGCAAATAGGCCCTTCACTCCCACCCCGGAAAAAAAACACCCTTTTAATTACCTCCCCTCTTTATTCCCCCGACAAAGGGAAGGAGACATACCTTTGAAGCACGCCCCCCCCCCCTTACCGCCACCTCTAGGTTGTAGGGGATAGGGGGAACATATCCCCTAATCGCACTGCACCAGAGAAGAACTGCCTGGTATCTGCAGCTCTTACTCGGGTTTGTCAGCTTGGAATGCATATTTGAACATTGGACAATTAAGATGAACATGAAAGTCGCATACACTGTAGATTTTTTCAAAGTATCGCTCGTCGGAAAAATGATCATGGTTACCATGACCATGGTATTACCATGCGCATAAAACAAGAAAAAACTGCCGAGTTATTTGCATAGGCTGTCATCATCCACACACGTGGGAACTTGTAGGATCGATTTGAAAAATTTGTGTCGCTAATGGGTCGCTAATTAAAAGTTTCCACAGCTCAACAAATCTGTGGCGCTCTTATCGTGGTTATGTTTGTCAGACACACATGTCGTTTGTGCAAGTAACTATTCCTTAATCAGAAAACGGAAACGTTCAAAATTGATCGATGTGCTAGTGGAAAATGGCTGACCCAAGCTAAATCTCTTCTGACTACCCTATCTCTCGAAGACAGAATGGAGTAGTTTCCAAGCCATCATGTGTGGGTTCTATATTGCCAATTGGACTTTAAGGAACTGCAGGCATTTTTTTCTAAGATAAGACAAAATTCCTGCCCGCATACAGCGTCGTGACTAAAATTGGAGACCGTTATCAAAACGGATAGAAATGGTTATGTTTAGTCATTTTAGATATTGCATGGCCTTACAAGAGCTGAATATAAAATTTTCTTGATTCAACAAAATCAAACTTCCAGGAGGTCTTAATTCAAAGCAGTTCTGGCAACGGTGTAACTGAAACAGTTTTCTAACCCTAACCCTGAGAAACAGATCAGATATTAAAGCGCTCAAGTCTGGTGGCCCAAGAACAGCTAATCAGTCAGTGTTGTAAGGATAAACTAGCATGTATTCAAACAGAAAAGAAATACCTGCTGCTCGCTTACCTCCAATCCGTCTTCAAAAACTTTCAGTTTGAGGTCCGTCTTGCACACACACATGCAGGAAAAAATACTTGACATCAAGGCAGGCGACGGCCAGAATACTCAAATGAGGCGGGTAGATTTTTTTTAAAGTATATCTCTACAATGCTAACTATTATAACATTTAAATTAAGTTACAGCCAGTCAGTCTCGCCTTGAGGTCTGTTCAATAATAGCAAGGGTCAGAATCTTCTGGCTTTTATCTCTCCAGGTCATTGTTAATAAACTCCTCCTGTCAGACTGAGCGAATGGATAAAACCGTTTCTGAGCCCCAGGTCTAAATTTTTGGTGGAATTTTCTCTGTCAGTTTAATTTATCAAAAACAACAGGGCGTTGTGAACTTCTCTCTGAAAGGTCATCGTAAAGGCATGTAATTCTTAGTTTTCGTGCGTAGAGTAATCAGATCCATTTGTTTTCCTACCCTCACTAAAAGACGGATTTTTTCCAGTATCTAATTTTTCCGCTGTGTGAATCCTGCTGTCGTTAACTCGTTGATTACGTTGCCAATTAATCTCTCCTGACATTTGCATCGTATCACGACCAATTTTAAATTCAATTTTCTTGAAACATAATCAGTTCAATTAGGCGAAAATATTCTTGATATTCTTAAGCTCGTCTATTTCCAATGAATCACTTTCTCCATCTTCTTTGTGCAGACCGTGAACAAATCTAAAAATTGCGGGCGGAGAGCGAGTTGTTTCTTTTTATAGAAGATCGTTGCTTCTCGAAGAGAGAATCGGAATGTCATCGCAGAAAACATCTTTTCCAAAACAGGAAAATGTCTTTCACACGTATAGAATCAAACAAACATGACATAAACTATTTAATACTTTTCCAAAGGCCGCTTTTATTGTTAAACCTTTTTTGAGGTGGAGTGTTTCCGTTGGGTAAACCCGATTATGAACCGATAAAACCGAATTAGTGTAAGTGGATCTTCACTCGAATAAGACTACAGCACTTCAAAAGCTCTAAGAGCTTCCGGTCTAAAAATTCTGAAAAGAACGGTTTTTCTTCAAGGAAAAGAAATTTAAAAAATTAGGTTCTCACAAGGTTTTCTCACAATAGGTTTTTTTCGTTTTGCAATGTCTCCTTCAAAATGCTTTTAATTGGGCTACGAATAATTTCCTTCAACTCAATCTTCTCTCCCAAATCCGCTGGCTTTTATCGCATCTGTGCTAAAATCGACCTCTCCGTCTCTCCCGTCAATCCTTTTCAGTCATGCAGTCTTTAGACTTGTGGATATACCAAGCAAAGGAACGAGAACCGTGTGGATTCTTGGCGTTAGTGCGGCTATAGAAATCTGGGAAGAGCATGCATCTTATTTAAGATGACGGACCGATTGTTGAATATATGGCGGATCAGTTGGGGTTGAGCGGCTAAACTCTGTTTCTGGCAATCACAAGATCATTAGCTTTAAGTACAATCACTGTTTATTTTAATCATATTCTGCACAGTTTATCCACGAATTCTCCAGGGTCAATTTTATAACCATTAGAACTTTTGAGTGACCAACTCCTAATTTCTCCTTACAATATCACCCCCGAATCAAACAGTAAGGTCATGAGAATAAAGGAAATGATCACCAACTGAAGAAGCTCTTGATTGTTAAACAAATTCTCCTTGTCAGCACTTTAGGAAATGTATAGAGAATAGTGTGGAGAATATACATGCTGATGTTTGGGTGTAAAAGATTTAAGCTGGCCTCTCTCTCTTCTTCTCTTTGCTGGCTTTCAGATAGACTCAGTACGTAGCCACCAGAAAGTTACTAAGTTTAGTGTAAGTCTTTAATTCCCAATCATTTAACGTAAATACATTTCAACTTCTTCGCGGTCAGTTAGATAATATAAATCAACCATTATGTTTTCTGATCGTTATGTACCAGGAACACAATTTCGTGTGTGGAATGTACTACGGATAAAGACATTATCTAAGCTTGGAAAGCATGAAGTTATCAGTCATCCGCTTAACGTTTGGTTTTGCATATGCCAAAGCTTCTGACAAAATAGTGTAACTGTGAAACTAAAGATTAAGATTTACTTAATAATAGTGATCACCCTCGCATAAGTCCAGATTAACAAAATTAAATTAATTCTCTGAGCTTTCCCACGATCTACGATGCTCAGAAAGCTGTAAGAGCATACTTCAAAGTAGCTACATCAAATTCTGCAAGTTTTTAACAGAGGACTTCGTATAAAACTTTCGCTAATTTCATTTCGGAAAGAAAAAAAAAAAGCCTCAATGTTCTCAACCCCCAAATGTAAGCGCTTAATCCTCCTCGCTTGTCTTCATGTCGCTCAATCTGAGGACTGATTTAGGTAGTTATCTTTAAAACAAAACCTAAAGTTGATAGATTAATTAGCTGTCCTTACTTATACAATGAAAATGTATCAATATTGCAGGAAAAGGTTATACGTAAATAATCGTGTTGATAAAAGTCACATAGTTTTGAAAAAGGGTAACACATTTGTTTAAAACATTTTTAAGCAACTTAATCAAATGGTCGTCACGAGAAAGTAACTCTCTATTTACTGAGTAACTAGAGCCCGGAATACTGGTAGAAGTTTAGATCCTTATGTCTTTAATGCAACCACTGTTTAACCACTCCATGTTTATATTTATCGCGTCAACGCACGTTTCAATGCATAAAATAAACAACTACAATCAGAACTAGTAGTTTAAAACACAGCATGATCAATGATATGTTTAAGTATGATTAACTGAGGCAAACACCTCAAACACCTTAGTCTGAGTTACAATGTTTACCGCTTACCAACGCTGAGAGGGACACTCGCTCATACTTTTATCTACAGTTTATAAGCACAAATTTTACAAGCTCTGAGTAAAACTCAAACGCTGCAAACGTGCTTTAGTGAAGCGACCATTTAGCCTCATCAAATGAAGATGTAATCGTTAAAAAAAGAGTCTTGAAGTCAATCAACTTTCTTCTTCTCCAACTTCTGCAGTCATTTCCTGATCTCCCTCCTCGGTGGTCTCCACGTACTCCATCTTGGAGCCATCCACGTTCACTAGTTCCAAGTTTACTTCTGCCTGTTTCACTTCCGGCACGTACACCGCCATGAGTGCTGCAGCACCCTCAGCATCTTGGGAGGTGACTCCCTCGAAGATATCCTTGCCCGCGGAGGAGTCTTCTTCCATGGCTTCCTGAGTCACCCCAGCTATCTGATGTTGGCTGGCGGAGACCAGAGCTTCCACCGCAGCCTGTAAGGCTGAGGCATCGTGTGAATGAGCCGTACCTGCAGCGGCGTTGGCGAGTTGGAGCTCCACAGTGGCCATTTCTACCTCACCGCTGGCCTGCACCACCTCAGTCACTTGCTGAGCACCGCCTTGGACTTCTCCTTCTTCTCCAGGAATTAAAGAGCTGGCGTCAACGGTCGAAGCTCCTTCTACGGTCTCAGCGGCAATGCCAGCTTCAACGGTTTCTTCAGTTTCCATGGTGACGCCGCTGGCCGCTGCAGACTCGGCTATGACGTCAACATTGACATAACCGTCCTCCTGTTCACCAGTCTCATCGGTCTGACTGCCTTGGTCCACTCCAGTATGTTTTCGTTTGATGTGCTTGGTGAGTGAGGACTTTTCTTTGAATTGCCTGTTGCACACGTCACACTGGTATGGTTTCTCGTCTGTGTGGGTCAACTGATGTCTTCGTAGGTTGTAGGGGCTGGCGAACTCTTTGTTACAAGTTTCGCAAATGTGCAAGGTGACTTCTTTAGCCTTAACTTTGGCTTCTGTACAACACGAAATACCGGAAAAAATTAGGTTGATACAAAATCTAATAGTAATACTGCTACTGGTTTGCTTTCCGTTTTCGCTTAGTAGCACAGTAAAGAGCCCTCTTAATAAACCCTTTCGTAGGGGAAGACAATATGTACGACCACCCAAACAGAGTTTTCAAAACACCATACACTCTTGAAAGCGGCCAGTCTCTATAAGCTATGGATATAGGATGTCAATGTTCCGGATATTCAGCTTCACTACGTGCTTCTTGGTAGAGTTTATTTCAAATGGCAAACAAATAAACGCTCCTCTACCAAAACTGATTC